GTGTTGCCCGGCGTCGTGGGGGTTGGAGTAGCAGCAGGGAACACCCCGACTCCTCCCTCTTTCACTCCCGCCTAACCTCCACAGGGCTGCCTGTGTGCGGGTAGGTACAGAAGCAGAAGCACAGGCACACGTGGTAGAGAGAAGCTTGCAAGCTGTTATCGGGTCGTGTGTGCGAGGCTCCTAAACAGTGCTGCTGCTGCTGCTGCTGCTGCTGTCCGCCCGTATGTGACGTACTGATCGAAGTTAGGCAGGGCTGAACTATGGAAAGTCTCCGTTTCTGTTACAGCTGCTGCTGCTGCTAATAATAATAATAATAATAATAATAATGATGATGATGATGATCATGATAATGATGATGATGATGGTGGTGGTGGTGGTGGTGGTGGTGGTGGTGGTGGTGGGGATGATGATGATCATGGTGGTGGTGGTGGTGCTGATGATACTGCTTCTGCTTGTGCCGCTGCTGTTACTAATGTTGATACTGCTAATGCTGCTGCTGCTGCTGCTGCTAGTGCTGCTCCTGCTCCTCCTCCTCCTGCTGCTGATGTTGCTGATGCTGCTGATGATGATGCCCTTTTAGGCTCATATGTGCTATGCGTTTTTATGCGCATTCATGCTCTATGCGCTTTTGATCGCTTTTAGGCTCTGACCGCCTTTCCTTTTACAACACCTGTTTTTAAAATTATTAGAGTTTATCGCGAAATATGCGTTGCCACATTACTGACATTAGGCAACGCTACTCGAGGAGCCGCGCTATGGTTATATTATCCGCATGTCATATTTCAACAACGTGAAAGCGTAGTAAATAGAGTATAACAATAAGGAAAGGATGAAATGGGGGGTTGGTGGTTGGGAAAGGTTATAGAGGTTAACAGTAGAGGTAGGCTATAGGTGGTAGCAGTAGAGTAAAGCTATAAACAGGACAAGCAACAGGGAAGGTAACAATAAGGAAAGGTTATAATAGCGGTAGTAGTAGGGAAACAGTAAGGTAAGGCTATACTAGGGGTTGGATAATAGTGTAAGGCTATAGTAGGCGATAGCAGTAAGGTAAGCCCATATACTAAGAGTGAATAGTAGAGTAAGGCTATAGTAGAAGATAACAGTAGGGTGAGATTATACTAGAGGTGAATAATAGAGTAAGCCTATAGTAGGTGATAACAGTAGGACAATATTATAGGTTAAGGGTGAAATTATAGTGATAATAGAAGGCTTGCAACACAGCAGCCCGGGGTGAGGGGAAGGTAGGGGGGCATTAATGATACAGCTCCGCATCTCTCCTAACCGTGATCTCCTAGCAGCTGGCTAGCGCGAACAGAGAGAGCGGAGAGAATGGAGGGAGGGGAGAGAGAGAGAGAGAGAGAGAGAGAGAGAGAGA